ATGTATTAAAACATATACTTCGAGTGCGACATTGGTTTTTTCCGTGGAGTTCCATTTCACCGGATTAGGCTCAATTCTCTCGTGACAGCGAAAGTTTCCTATCTAAAGCCGACATGCCCTTATCCTAGTTTTTTATGCTCTATCGAATGAACATAGTCCCGATCCAAAATTATTGAGACACCGGAGGTACTTCCCTTGTAAGTGACGAAAATATTGGGTGCAAATTGAAGCCATTCATTTCCTATCAATCAACTATATCTCAAGAAAAACTGAAACAAGTACATAAGTGGCTGAATTTCGATCAGAAATATTGTTGCCAGAACAGTTACGAATCTTGGATGATGGTGAAAAATTTTTCATTGCATTGAAGGTGATATCTATCAAATTCTAGTCCTTGCAATTCGATTTTTTATAACGTTTGTGTCATCCAAATAATATTTTTATGCATGGTACATTCAAATCTAGTTCAAGCCACTTCAGTCAAGTTACATGGTTCATGTGATGCTTGCCAATTTGTTGATTCCAATAATTTATGCGCTCCTACCAGAAAAACGAAAGTCTACACATCAAAGACTGTTCAAAATTCTAAAAACTTATGCAATAAGTCATGGGTTCATAACCATGATGAACTATGCCTGTAAACGGAAAAGTAAATGTAGCACCCTGGCCGGACGCGAACCGTCTACATCAGCCTCGTTAGACTCTGAGTTAGTTTATCTTGCCATTGATTCGAATCCGAAAAGCGTTTCATGCAAGCTGCTATTTCTGCTATACAGTCAGAGTTTCCTAATGCTGAAATAAATGGATGCATGTTTCATTTTATGTAGTGTATATGGAGAACGGTTCAAAGCTTAGGATTTGTTTCAGATTTTTCATAAAACGGTGAACAGAATGAGCTATTTAAAACTGTGAAACGATTACAATCATTACTTAAGGCGACCAATAAAAAGGAAGTTTTTGAATGCATAGTTAATCAAGCTCGCGAAAAACCTGAAGCAGACGATTTACTTGAACATTTCTTTAACAATTTTTTCAAAGACGAAGCTTGGTTAATCGAAAAATATGTAATCAGTTTGAAAATGATGGAACGAGCGCTAAAAATAAAGTACGGCTTTCTATTACTGGGGTTTTCTCAGACCTAATAATCACAAGATTTGAACTTTTGTACAGTGAACGCACGTTAATATACCGTTAATAGGCTTCCCTCTGAAACGCTATTAACATACCAATGAAGTTCTACACCTTTCAGGTCCAATTCAAAACTTATAAGGATGAATGCTACGAATTTCTACACGAGTCGCTTGCATATTAATAAAAATTTGCAATTCCAATACCAATGAAAGCTGGAATTGAAAACGATTCGTATTCTTTATTCTATATGTGTTTTTCTGTCCCTGAAATCAGCCACCTAGAGTCATTGAATTGGTTAAAATGCCATTTGATCGATACCCACGTCCCCTTTCACTAGTGAGGTTTTGTAGCATTTCATCGAATTCTTGTTTGGAGCAAGCTTCTACGTTTCACATTGGCGCTAACTGATTCATAGTCCTTATTATTTGCAAAATTTGCTATCGCCATATCAATCTTAGATAACTAATTGTTTAATAATATGACGATACTGAGAAATCGATGATGACTGATGGGCTTATTCAATAATTCTAAAAATTTATAGATGGTGAAACTTTGTGAATCCAATGTTTCTAATTAATAATTTTTAATTATCATAGTATTATAATATCCAGAAATAATTATAACAGACTAGTTATACTGTCACGAGGTATAGCTAAACAAAGCTTTCAAATCGATATCCAATGAGTTGAGTCCGATGAGTGAATTTTGATTAGAAAATGGTACATGCTCCTATTTATACAGTTTTCAGTTACTTTATAAATATCGTAATTATACCCTTTTTACTACATGATAATCATACAATTTACTTAACTCGCCTTGTCGATATTTTGTGAGATCGAGGAATATGAATGAGAGCAAATATCTAACAGTCCAAGAAATGTCCACAGGATGGCGACACTTATGCTTCTCTCTTTATCTCTCTTTCCAACTTGGATATTCATCAGTTTTTTCATGAATTTCTTGTCTAATTTAAATTTTCAATCTGCTAAATGAGTCTATCAATCTAGAGAATATGTAAAATACAACATTACTTTTGGATTTTTCCTGATTAATTCAGTTCTTTAAGTTGATCACTTTGACAAACACAAATCACAAAATATATTTTTTGCATCAAAACATTTACCCAGCAAAAAAGGTTATTAGACTAATTACAATTGTGTTGATTAAACAATGTTAAATGATAGGAGCAAGTCGCTTGCCTTATAATAATGAGCTTGAAAAGTTAATGAATAAGTTTGCTTTGATTACATTTGTTTTGTCTTTTATCTCATTTTCAGGTTTCCTCTCAACTTTTCAACTAAAGTTTCTGTTAACTTTCATTAGTTATATTAAGTTTATCATATTGTATTTATTGGTAAAGCGCAAGTTTGATTGCGAGAAGAGAGCAAGAAAATGAAGAATCTCTTTTTTCAGCATCGCCACTATTAACTAACATTTGCCTTTATTCCATCATGAAAATGAATTCAACAAACAATAGTCACATATGAATATGAATATTATCTGTCTATCTGTTTAGTCATGCAACGCTGTCTCATTATTGTCAGTAAATGAAAAATCAAGTTTGAGAAAAAAGATTGAAACTCATTCCATTTTACCCATTTCACTTTTAGTCAATCTGAAGTTTACTTCATGATCAGCTTATCTGTTGAATCAGAATTGTTGGACTTTATTATTGTCCATTTAATCTATAAAAAATATCGATTCTTTAGACAAAAAATAATTAACTGGGAAAAATTAAAATGTTATAAAATAATTACTGATAAACTATTGTTAATGAATTTATATTGAAAAGATGAAAATGACATTCCCTTTGCTTCTTTGTGTCACTCCTTTTTACCTCCCTTGAGGAAATTTAATTAACAGAATCTCGTAAGATATTTCTTGTTAACTATTCAATTCCGTTTTGAGCAACATGAATTTTGATAAAAGTTCATTCTAAGAAATCAATATTCGGCACTGAAAACAATGGAAACCGAAAATGTTGAAAACTTGATTTGGTTGATTGCAAAGTTAAATATTAATACATTATATTGAAATATTAGAAGAAAAACAGATTGAAGCAGAAAAGAGCCCGAAAATTTTTACTAAAACTCCTGTTCGATTAGCTTTTAGCATTTGTATAAAGCGATTTATAGCGATAGCATTTCTTTTAGAACCCTTTCCGTTTACCACCATTTTGACCCGAAAACGAATCACTGTAAAGTTTCTTCAATAAATAAGTTACAATCAATCGAAATCGAAAAGACACTAATTCATAATGTAAAAAGCCTTTCTTTAAGTAAATGTTGGAAATTTTCATTCGAACTGAGAGTTGAACCTTTGTTGGTTGTATGGGCATAAATTGATTCAATTTGTTTAATTAAAAGATTTCTCTGATGAACAATCTTTGAAAAAATTGAGTTCAAACGTTGGTCCTTTTTTGTAAAATTGAGGGACTCGATTTTCTCACCGCTCTTTTGACTCTTTATCCTAAAGACAAGTTTTACATAAACTGCTAATCCAACAATAAATCATCAACCTGGATAACCAAGAAAGTTTTCCCCCCAAACACAGTAATAGAAAATACAGATTCGCATTTTTTCCCAATTCTGTTTGAACTGGAATTTCTCAGTAACCTGAATTCTGATTAAACTGTGGCTATTTTGAGTCGCGTATTTCAATCATTGTTTTCATTCTGTGCAAAAATTTTCCACGGAACCCTTTCAATTCAAAATTTTTACACGAAAATTTAATGTTTTGAACTTGTATACATTTGTATTATGATGGGCAAAATCATGCTAATTTTTTCGATTGATTTTTTAATGTGAATACTTTTTGCAAATAGACGTGATGCATGACCAATGTCATGTTGGAAATACTCATTTGTAAATGTTACGGTTATGTTTATGTTAGAAAATATTGTTTCTCTAAATAATGGTCAGGTGTAATTTTGGCTTCTCTTTTCAAATAGCTAATGGGAAATGCAAAGTAAAAGCTAAAATAAAGAAAGATCATTGAAAATACTAATAAAAAGGTGCTCATCAAAGGCATATATACTTATATACCTGTGTTGGGACGAGTAAATGGTAAGTCAAAGAAAAGAGAACATGTAATCAGAATAAAAAATTTAAGTTAATTGTCTTCATTGAGAGCCTCAGTTAATTTATGTTTAATGTTTTTACAGTTCTATGATGGTCAATGGTAACTATTTCGTATCCAAATGTCAGGATCATAATAATGGTGCTATTGACTAGGGTAAAGCCCAGGAAAGCGAAAATCAAAGCGAAAGTCGTATAAGCGAAGCTCATCCAAACTGTCTCTGATTTAAGCGAATTGAATCTAATTGTTTATTTAAATATTAGTCTGTCTATTTAATTAGTAAATTATCGAATCACAAATACAATAAGGACTGAAATGATGAGACTCTCTTGGAATATATGCAAACTGTCTTTCGAGTAAAGAGTTTGGTGAAAAATCTGGTGCCTCAACTGTACAAAAAGAGACCAAATGACAAATTTTGAACTCAATGTCGATGATTGTCCACCAGTAAATATTTTAATTCAGAATTTGAATCTTTAAATATGGATTGAAAAGAAAGTGCAGTGAAAAGAAATTTGGTCGGGGTTCCACTTATCAATTTAATTAACTTTTCACTTTTTTTGCTTCTCGTTACCTTACAGACTTTAGTGCAGCGGTTTTTAACAAGAAGGAGAAACAATTTTAATCAGAATGGTGTTAACCTTATGCAGATTAAACCTTAAACAAGCAATACAATTTAATTGATGATTGTAAACAAGAAGCAAGTCAAGAGGCTACAAATCGATAATTGATGACACTATTTCCGATAATCGACTTTACTCATTTCTCAATCACTCACACTCAATGAAACCAATATGAGACGTCCATTTCTTACCTGGTTCATTTGCAGAACAGCAAAAATTCAGCTTCACTATTAACCAATTTAAAGATAACGCCAAATACATCTTAAGATCTTAGAGCAAAAAACTTTTTCCATGCATTCAATGACTTTCTCATCCCAATATGAACCTTATTCGTTTGAAAAAAGCTTAAGATTATATTTTTGAAATTCTCATTCTCATGATGGTTTTTTCCACTAAAATTGTGTATCTTTTCGATGTGGATGGACTATCTCTGTAAAAAGAGCTTGAAAATCAGTCATGATCGGAGAATCCACTTACCGAACACAATTTTCATTCCTAAACAGTTCGATCGTCAATTAACATCATGTCCATTAAAAAATTTGGTCTTTGGTAAATTATTTTGCAGGTTAACTCTAGATGGCTCTCAATCCTAAGCAACTCGAAGTAGTTCAAAAATATCATTAAATGTTAATCAGATGGCGACACTACAGCTAAAAACCTCTGTCAATAGACAGTTACCTCAATCACCGTTAGATGGCACCAAAACTGATTACCAAACTTCAAACGGTGGCGCTTCAAAAGCTACTTTAACCAAAAACTGAACGAAACATTTGCAACTAAAAAACTTATTCGAGTCCAAAATTTGACCAGAAAATTGCAAGGCAAGAAATAAAAGTCGAGTCCATTTAATACAAATTCAACTCACAATCTTGCAATTTAACCACAAATGAGTTTTGAGGACAAAACAGGTATTCATGTAATGATGAGATATTGAGACTTTCATCAACATTTAAAATAAAATAACATCTAGTCAGTATGGATAAAGCGTCAAACAATGATTAGTTTTAAAGAATAAAAATGATAATGGAATAAAGTGAAATACAAAATGTTCATTTTCACGATAACAGTGTTGCTCAGATGAAATTGACACTTGAAAATAGACATTAGCCTTACATGGATGAACGTTGACAAAATTCAAAATTATTCATTAATCACATTTCAATTGGTGAGATGAAAGATGAAAAAAAGGCAAATTTTCATCTATAAATAATGTTACCTATAATTTATTTACAATGTATTTACATTGTTATCATTAATAATGATAATGATAATGTAATACCAATAGCGATTGAAAGGCAAGTCAAGGTTTACTCAACTTTGCGATATTTTAAGCTGTTTCATGTTGACAACTATTTGACCTTAATGATGCAAAGGTTTGGGTAAATGTTGCATTTTATTGGTTATCTGAAAAGTACTGGTTTCATAGCCAAAAATCAACACAAAAGTCAAGGGGCAAAAGGTAAAAGGTAAAAGACAAGAAAACAAGAAAGTAGACCTTTTCCGTTTCGCCATCTTATTCTTTTCTTCATTTATTAACATTTAAAATGCAAATTGAAATCTTGAAATTAACTCGACAAAATGCTGAGAAAAAAGCTTTTTACCTTCGTTTACCTTGGCACACAACAACAATGTTAATATCATGATTTTCAGCTGATTGCCAATAGATTTTTATCCGAAACACATTTATCATTCTTGTTGTTTCTTTTCAAAAGTCAAATCTTTTTAACTTTCATTTGTTTTCTTTTCTAACCATTTTCATTATTTAACCATTGCCAACTGACTGACCACTTTGGACTTGCACGGCTTCAACCATCACTTTTTTACCCTCTTTTGCATCCTTTCCTTCTCTCTTCTCTCTTCTTCTTCTTTCATCTTCTTTCACCTTTTCATCTTTTCTTGCTTCCAAAATTTTCTATTCACGAGCTTTCCATTGGTCAATTTATTGTTGATTATCATTATATTATTATTATTATTATTTCATTTTTATGAATAAATATGTTTCCTCGAGGTTTTCCTTTTATTTGCATTTCTATCCTCATTGACTGATAAATAAGCATCAATAGTCATTGAATACGGGCGTCTGGTCATTTGCTGGTCAATTCTTGGTCTATTTACTATCAATTATATGGATATATTAAGAGATAAGAAAAATGCGCCATTTCGAGTTTCAAGCTGCTTCAAGTTTACTCATGAAAGTTTTTCGTTTAGAAAAGTTTCCATGTAAAATAAAAAATTCATTTTTTCAAGCTTTTCAAGAGTTGGTTCAGGTCTTATTTATTCAGTCAATTTTGGGCAATTTGAACAAACAATTTTACTCATGAAAGTCTTTCGCTTAGAAAATTTTCGATGAAATGGAACCAAAGATTGAAGATTCATTTGAAGTTGAAATAACATATTTACTGTCATCGTCTTCATCTTTCATCAAAAATTAAAGGCCAACATAAAAGGCCAAAATTGACAAAAAAATTTTAGCATCGATTCATTACTATTGATTATCCAGTCTTAAAATGATTTAAAATTTTAGACTCAATTATTTCAAGGCAAAATACAAGATTAAAAATTGAAATTCAATCTGTAAATTTGAAATAAATCAAAGTTTACAAATGAAAAAAGGTTGATAATGAAATTTTGGAGCGAAACTAAAACCGAAGCAAAGTCACTTTTGAAAGATGCTTCAATTTTTAAACAAAAAATGCCCATAAATCTTAACTCGCCTTTTTCCTTTCAAAAGATCCGAAACTTGAAAACTGAAAAAGCTCCAAAAATTTACTCTCGATATCAAAATAATTGACAAAAAAAACTTGTTTTATCAATCATTTTCATTCAATATTCAAGTAAACTTATTATTACAATATGAAAATGATATTTATTGCACTTTCTTATTGCATTTCATGACAAATTTTGACAGCAAAAAATGTAACAATATTGCATCCAAAAGGTAAAAGCAAAGAGCAAAAGGAAGAAAACAAATTAGTTCATATCTTTATCGTAAATGTCCATCATGTGTCTATAGTCAATTGAAGCTAAACTAATCGATTGTGCGCGAATAATTTCTCAACTCATCTTACCTTCTTTTTTACCTTTATTCATTACCAACGGGATATCACGCTCGCACTTACTTAAAGAGTAGCAAGAGAGTAAAGGGAAAGAAGAGAAAAAAGAATTGAAAAAACTGACCATTCACCTTTGATGTTTATATTTTTGCTGTTCAATAACTTTCAAGAAGAAGCGAAATCTCATTTTCTTTTGGTCATCAGCAAAAAAGACGAACAAGAAGAAACTCTGAAAACTTGTTTTCCTTTTACCTCATTTGGTAAACTTTGACCATTTGGTTTGTTCCAATCAACTCAGTGTGTGCCTCAAAAGCACAGGTAAACCTATTGACCTTTGAATATATTCACAGACGATGTGTTGACGTCTAATAATCTCTTACTTTTTTTTCGTTTTTTTTACCAATTTTTCTTTTTCCATTGTCTTTTGCTTCCTTTCACTTTACAAAGCCTATAGACTTGGAATGAACCAGTAAATGAAGGAAATTTGAATTGAAGCTCAACAATTTCAATTTAAACAAAATCAAACCTCAAAATTGAGATAAATTTGATTCAATGTCGTTGGGTTTTCGTCTTTCCTTTCCTTTCCTTTTTACACAAATGCAAGCTTTTACTTAACTCTTAACGCGCTTTGCAAATGTTCAATTTGTCTTGATCAATGTCTTGATTAAGTCACCAAGTGACTCAAGAGAGGGCAACAGCACAAAGCAAGTCCGTCAAAACTGATGAGGATAATGATGAGGTTTAATATTTATTCAGGAAATGATTGATAAATTATTTGCTTGTCCTGATGACTGGAGCAACTAGAGAAACATTATCATCATGATAATCATCAACAACCCAAACTAGGTAACTGTAATTATGTAAAGCAACAAGAGTGTGGTGTTGAAAGAAAGAAAAGAAATAAATAAATGACTTTTTTTGCCTCTTTCCTCTCGTTCTCTCATCGTTCTCTTCGTCATCTCACCATCTTCGTCCTGCAATCACTTAGTCACTGTAAAAATTGACAGCCCAAGAAGTGAATAAGCAACAAACTTGTCCTTTTCCTCTTCATTATCATTTCGTTGTTTTCCTCTTCAACAATGACTTTGAAAATTATTCACTTTTTTTTCTCTCTTTTTGATTTTCTCTATTTTTCAACTCAATTACCACTGTTGACTTTCAACTGAAATCAGCTCAACTAACCACTGTAATCATCATCACCACCATTTTTTATTCAACTTTTTTTGCGAATTTTTCTCTTTACTCTTGTTCACTGGAAAATGGGGAAAACTTTCTTTCTAAAGAAATTAAAAAAAGAAGAAAAAAAACAAAGTCTTAATGACTTGAGGTTCGAAGTAGAGATTGACTTACAGAACGTTAACCCAACATTTGTGCGAACGAGTTAATTCGCTTTTCATCTCATCTCTTGGTGACAAGATGAACATGTTGCTGATGATGGTGATAATCAAAGAGAAGCGATAAAAAAAAAGTTTTCATGTCGTTATCACAAGCAACGTTGCTTGCAGCTTTTGCTCGTTAACTTTATTAGATTTGATGAAGAAGCTTTTTTTCTGCTCAACATTTTTTTTCTCCTCTCAGAATCAAAAAGACTTGATAAATGAAAGAGAAAGAGAGAAATGATGAGTTAATGTTGAAGAATGTAGCGTTACCTTTCAATGAACACCTTAAACAGTAATCATCTTGTGAGAAAAGGTGAGAATTAATGAAAGAAGAGAAAAGACTGAGAATAATGTCATCAATTGAATGTAACAGTGCAAATGAGCACAAAAAAAGGCACCAAACACACAAGAGGAATTGAGCTGCTAATGTGTGATTGTGTGTATCAAGCAAATGAAAAGCAACCTTTAATGACGCCGTCAACGATCAAACAATTTAAAAGGCACATTTAGCCCGATGCAAAGAAATGAAACAAAAAATCAAATTGTTTTTATGTTCAACTCTTTAGCTGATTAGCTTTCCTCATCTTGTTCATTATCATCATCAATAAGTCATTTAAAACAGTATCAAGTGTGAAACTGGCAAAAAAAGCCAATAATGATGAAACAATGATGAAAATGGGAGAGAAAAAATGACGATAAAGCGACAAATATTGTTTGAATTTTCAACTCAATTTGATGATTGAAAGAAGAAGAAAATGAACAAAAAAAAGTTTCTTTTTTTCTTTCTTCATCAGAGGTTATTGTTATTGATTAATGATCGTTGTAATGATGATGAAGGACATTGTTTAATGTAAAAGTTTTTGAGGGTTCAAATGAAAGAAAAGTGAGAGAAAAAGATTTTTTAATTTTCAACTTCATCATGAAGGCAATTGGTTTGGTCTTTTAAAAATGATTATGTGTTGGAAAAGAGAGGAAAAACTGAATCTTGTAAAGGTAAGTATTGAGTGAAAATAGTTTGGTCCGAGAATATTTTTCTTTTGCATTTTCTTCTCTTCTTGTGCAACTTTTTCTGTGAGATTAAATTAGAGTCATCATCACATGGAGAAAAGTTGTGAAGAGAGTGAAAGTTTGAAATCATCATCATCATCATCATCATCATACTCTTCATCTCTTCTCAAGAATGATATGGATGAGATAATATTTACTTTGCTTCTTCTGTTAATGAAGTTTTCTTACTTTTAGTCTTGATTATCATCATCTAATGATGGTGACAATCCTCCTCTTTCTCCTTCTTTTCCCTTATATTTCCTTTCTTATCCTATCATCATCATCATCATCTCTTGCTCACTAACTCATTTTAGCCTCATTAAAAGCTTTTTTTTACAATGTTTGTCCCAATTCATTGACAACAAGATTACTTTGGTCTCGCAACACTTACCTTGAACACCGCAACATTGACACAACATTGAATGGTGAATAAGTGCAATCTCTTACCTTTTGCTTACCTTTCATCATCATTATATAATAAATACAAAGGGAAAAAGAAGCTCAACCAAAAAGTTTGACTTTCGAGTCAAGAGTTGAGCTTGAAAACGGAATCCATTTGATCACCAGTTTTCAATGGACAATTTCAATGCTAGTCCTTTGCTACTAATATGGACACAAATTTTTAATGAAACTTTGACAGTTTCAATGGAAATGAACTTTTAACTGCACATCGAAAGCGCCTTGATTTCAAATCGAATCCTTTGCTTCAATCGGGTTTTTGTAGATCAAGAGTCGAAACTTGTTTTTGAACAGAACTGATCAGACGAACATTAACGTTCAACGAACGTCATTTCGTTTCATTAATAGTTGAACGAATTTTTAATGTGATCTTTTTGAATGACCTTAAATGACCTCTATATAGCGCTCAATTCAGAAGAATGATGTTTTGAGCGCTGTCTGTTTCTTGTGATGTTGAAAGGCAAAAATTTCGAGTCGAGTTTGAATGTGATTTCATGCAAAAGTCGACAAGAAAATTGATTGGACAAAAGGACTTTTTGTGCCTCAACAAACCCTCTGCATCTCGACTCTTAACCCGAAAATGAAACCTTTTGGTTATGCTGTTTACCAAAAAAAAGGGAAAAGAAATGAAATCGATATAAATCAACACTTTCACTCTTTACACATCAATATCATTCTCTATACTTTTCACTGTTTACTCGCAATCATTAATCATCTATTTGATCATCATTTTTCTCTCTTCATTTAATATTATTCATCTTGCTTTTCCTTTCTTTTCCTCTTTCTCTTGTCACAGATTTTCACCGATTTATCCTCCCTTTTCCTCTCTCTTTCTCTCTCTTCCCACTTTTAATAGGCTGAAACTGACCACTCTAATCCGATCGGCGATTCATTCAAATGAAGGTTTAAATGAATCAAACTTTTCTCGTCCTTTTCCTCTTTTTGGTCAGTTTTCATTTTTTCTTCTTCTGGTTTGATGGTCAACACGGTTTACAAGTACAATATATATAAAAGTAAAATGTGACTCAAGGGTGGAAATGAGTGAGAAAAGGTGAGCTAAAAGAAGGACAATGTTGATTTGCCATTGCTTGGACAGTTTCGAGCATTTACTTTTTTTGCTTCTTGTTTCCCTCTTTTTAGGGCTTTTATAACTCAACTGATTGCCACTTCTTTTGACCGTTTACAATGGACAATGAAACAACGTTATTTGAAAAGCCACAATCTGTGGTTCAATGTTTTATTGGTGCACATTAACCGATCGTCCAACATTCAATGTGTTTATTGTTTAATCTGTTAATAACCATTTTCCTTCTTCTTCTTACCTTTCACTTTAAAAACCAATAAATAACCTGGTCAACAGTTGATGATGTCCAATGATAATGAACAAGATGAGAAGATGAGGAAATGAGAAGAAGAAGAAGAAGAAGAAAAACAATCGATTGAACAACAAGATAGATTCAAATCTTGATTCTTGATTATTCTTCCAATTGAAACAAAAGGTGTTCATCATCATTGTTAACAATCGATAAATTGAATAACAGTGCGTGATTAGCAAAGAAAAGAAGTCTTGTTTGAATGCATTTCTAGTTAATGTTATCATCATTATGATTTTTCATCCAACAGAAGACAGAGAGAGAGTGTAAAGTTTGACCTAAACTCAGAGAGAAACGAAAAGGTGAAATTAGGTAAAAACCATCAAAAGAGCAAAAAAAGTTATTTTTTGTGCCGTTTCATGCATAAATGCAAAGCTTGTTGCAAATAAAGTTGATGGGAGGAGACAGTAAAGTAGACATAATTCAATAAACTGTCAATGCACATTATTATTAGATTATAGGGAAGAGAAGAAGAAGAAGAAAAAAATGGAAAAGAAAAGGTAAGAAGAAGAAGAAAAGTAAAGAGAAAAATATTATTCAAAACCAAATTCATGTAAATTTTTGTTGATATTTTCTCTCTACTTTTCTCTCTATTTACCTGTAAACCTTTTGCGTTTTTCATCCCAATCATGGTCCAGATACTTTATGTTTTGCTTTGGGAGTTTTTTTGCACATTTTTTTCTCTCTCTCTCTCTTCATATTCTTTACCTTTTGAAATAAGCGGATATCAAAACAGAGGGAGAGAAATGAGACTAAAATAAAAGACAAAAAATCAACATTGATTTTTTCTCTTCTTATTCCTTTCTTTTTTCTTCTTCTTCTTCTTCTTTTGGCAAAACAAAAATATTGAGCAAAGAGTAAAGTAAAAGGTAAAAGTTGACAAAGAACGATATGAGTTTTTGATATTAAGGCTGCGAGTGGGGTGGGAAAGTGGGAGTTGAGTAGATTTATGGTGAGTCAAAGGAAGAGGTAAGGTGATGATGATGGGGGTGGGTGATGGTTGATAGAGAGTTGATGAGAAATGATGGAAAGTGAGCAGAAGCAAAGGTAAGTTGGAATATTATTCTTGCAAGAAAAAGAAGAAGAAGAAAAATGTAAAGAATAAGGATAATTTAAGTGAGTGAGTTGTTTGTCGAAGATGATGAAAGAGAAATAAATAGATATAAAGAAGAGAAAAGGGGGAGTATCAGGGAGATGAGAGAGGTGAGTGGGAATAAGAGAGAGAGAGAGAGAGAGAGAGAAAGGTAAGGAGGCAGGTATAAATGTTAAAAGAATGAAAAGAAAGAGAATTGAAACTTTTGGAGAAAAAAAAAGTTGAAGAAGAAGAAGAACAAGGAAAGAGAAACAAAAAGTGAGCAGTGAGCACAAGATGAGTGAGCTGATATTCTGTTTCAAAAATAAGACGAAGAAAGGTGTATCCCTAAACAGTCTGCTCTGTAATTCATCACTGTCATTCCTCTTTCTACTCTTTCTTATCATTCCGTTTTCTGTCTCTCTCTCTCTCTCTCTCTCTCTCTTATCGTCTCGATATTTTTTTGCTTGCTGTTCTTACCTTTCGATGTGCATTGATACATTTTCATGTTATGCTTACTACTGTTGTTTGTTTGTTTGTTGTGTGTTCATTGTGTTTATTGACGGCCCAAACTGAGGCCAAACTTGATCCACTCACGGTTGGCTCACGGCTTATCACGTGTTTATGGTAATAGGGGATAGGAGGGTGGGGCATGGTTGCTTGTTGAGTGATTGTGGAGGAAAATGAAAATTGAGTGAGTCAGTCAGATACAAGGTAAGTTTGTTGGTAGGAATGAGAGTGAGAGAGAAACAGAGATAGAAAGAGAAGAGGAAGAGAGAAAAGTAGAAATAATAATATCGAGTGAGTCAGTGAGTGAGAGTGTGTTGTGTGTGTGTGAGAGAGAGAGTTTTTCAAGAAATTATTTCTTTTGCCATCCAATTGAAGCTTAAAATTAATGGCCATGAGTTCGTTTTTGATGAACCCAGCGGCATATATGGCTGCTGCAGCCGCGGCGGATGCTGCCAGTGGCTATTCCCTGTCAAGTTATTATGATGTTACTGCAAGTGCATCGGGACTTGGTGGTGTCAGTGGTGGCGGTGGTGGTGGTGGGTCTAGTGTTGTTGTCAATTCATCGGTCAACAGTGTGCTTGGTGGCAACTCAAATGGATCTGTAAATGGTGGTAACAATGGAGGTTCAAACGGGAATCCTGGTAATGACAATTCAACTGTCAACTCTGGACACCTTTCACCAGTGACTTCGTCTTGTGTTGGCAACTCTTTTGGATTTAACCATCATTCCCATCATCATCAAAGTTCACCCATTCCCGGTTATCCTACCCATGTCAACGATCCTCGATCACACTATGGATCACCTCATCATCCCCATCATCCTCACCACACTCACCATCCTCATCACAATCATCACTCACAATTGACTAATCATCATGCTCACCATTCACCTCACCATCCACTCTCTCATCCTCACCATCCTCATCAACAATATTATGGAAGCCAAAGTGTTCCCGGTTCGGGTCCAATGGGCTCCATTGGTCAACATGTTTCACTTGGTTCAACCGATTCTTCCCTTGAACCTTCACCAGAGATTTTAACTCATCCTCATCACCTTTTAGCTACTTCATCTGGTCTCTTATCACACCATCATCATCCCAATGTTTCATCGCCTTCACCTTCATCTAATCACCATCAACAACAACAATCATCTTCATCATCCCTTCGACATCAAACAGGATCCAATCATCACCATCAAACACAACAGTTAGATATTAAATCAGAAGTTAAATCAATTATCAGTGATTCTCCATCTCCACCGGACTGTGCAATCTCAGGAAACAGTGGAAGTAATTCAGGTGCTTCAGGTGCTGGTCAACCTGTTATTTATCCATGGATGAAAAAAGCTCATGATAATCAAGGTAAACAACCATCATTAACTCTTATCTCGACATTTAGTTTCACATCAAGTTAGAATCATCAAATCGAAAAAGAAAAATAAATGAATGAAAAAAAAGGTAAAAAAAACAGAAAATGTTGTATTACAGACAAAAATAAGTCTCGAAAATGAAGACTTATCTTTCAGAACGAAAAACTAATGACGAGATAATTACTGATAAATTGAAAAGCAAAAGTGTAAATACCGGGTGCTGAGTAAAAGAAACTAACAAGAAACAAAATAGCATGAAAAATGATGCTCACGTATCAATGTGATTTGACTAATCATGTAGTAATGAAAGAATCAAAAACAGATAATTCATTTAGTAAACGAGAAAAATAACATTTATAAACTTCAAAAATCTAGTTTAGATGTTTTTGCAAATTGATCATAAAACCTCAATTGACTGAATAAATATCGATAAAAATTCTCGTTTGAATAGAACCAACTTTCATATGAACAAAACCAACATTGAAAAGAGTAAAACTGACTGACTGTAAAGACACAGAGTTTACATAACAAAACCAGCGTTCAAATGACCAAAACTCACTTTCATAAGACAAAAACTTTCGAGTTAAAGAGTTGCTCTATTCATAGTATGTAAAGAGGATTGTCACTAATTTTTGAAATGAGCCTCCACTGAAGATTGTAAATCACAATAGTAAACCAACTTTTATCAAAACGTTGACTTATATTCCAGGATACTCCAGAAAACATGTAATTAACGATTAACGAAACAATCTAACGAAAGCACTGAATAAAGATACTCTTAACTCGTGAGTTTCGGTCTTTTTTTCTGTGTCTTTACAGTCAGTCAATTTCACTCTTTTCAATTCTGGTTTGGTTCATATGAAAGTTGGTTCTATTCAAACGAAAATTATGGTAATATAAATATAAGAGTTGGACGAACTTTTATTTTACATGGAAAATTTTATAAACAAAAAACTTTCATGAGTAAACTTGAAGCAGCTTGAAACTCGAAATGGCGCATTTTACTTATCTCTTAATATGTCCATATAATTGGTAGTAAATAGACCAAGAATTGACCAGCAAATGACCAGACGCCCGTATTCAATGACTATTGATGCTTATTTATCAGTCAATGAGGATAGAAATGCAAATAAAAGGAAAACCTCGGGGTAACATATTTATTCATAAAAATGAAATAATAATAATAATAATATAATGATAATCAACAATAAATTGACCAATGGAAAGCTCGTGAATAGAAAATTTTGGAAGCAAGAAAAGATGAAAAGATGAAAGAAGATGAAAGAAGAAGAAGAAGAGAGAAGGAAAGGATGCAAAAGAGGGTAAAAAAGTGATGGTTGAAGCCGTGCAAGTCCAAAGTGGTCAGTTAGTTGCCAATGGTTAAATAATGAAAATGGTTAGAAAAGAAAACAAATGAAAGTTAAAAAGATTTGACTTTTGAAAAGAAACAACAAGAATGATAAATGTGTTTCGGATAAAAATCTATTGGCAATCAGCTGAAAATCATGATATTAACATTGTTTTTGTATGCCAAGGTAATAGCTGAAGACCTCCAATCATAACTTGATTAAATCTACTTTTAAATTGCTCAAATTAGTGATGTACTAATATATCGAATCAACCGATATATATCGATATTTTTCCTTAGAAAATATGAATATGAGTTACGATATGGTATCGATATGAAAACAGAAATAATGGTTCAAGTTCAAGATATCAAATATCGCGACACATGAGAAATACTCATATCGAACATCAAACGCTCTAATTCCTAATGAAAAACCCTCAAAACTGAAAACTAAAATATAATGTTTGTGCAAATCTCAATTGACTGAATAAATATTGTAAAAATCATTCTCGTTTGAATAGAACCGACTTTCATATGAACAAACATTCGTAAGATTAAATCCAGTTGACTGTAAAGGCACAGAGTTTTCATAACAACAAAACCAGCGTTCAAATATTCAAAACTAACTTTCATAAGACAAAATCTCTCGAGTTAAAGAGCATCTTTATTCAGTACGTAAACCATTTGTTGCTTGTTAATTACCGGCACTTCTTTTCTTATGCATAGTGTGATATAAGTTAGCATTTTGATATATTTTGATATATTTTGATAATATAATAACTTATTATATGTGATTAACAATCTTCAGTGGAAGTTTATTGGAAAAATTATTTGATAATCCTCTTCACATACTCTGAATAGAGCAACTCTTTACCTCGAGAGTTTTTGTCTTATGAAAGTGAGTTTTGGTCATTTGAACGCTGGTTTTGTTATGTAAACTCTGTGTCTTTACAGTCAGTCGGTTTGACTCTTTTCAATGCTGGTTATTCAAATTTGCTCATTGATTATATGGTCCACAAGCTTTCGATTGATATTTATTTTGCTTTTAATTTTTTCATCAAAAATATCAGCAAGTTCTGACTCCTACTCATGTTATTGTATCCGTGAAATTATTGAGTCAATTGAATAAACATAACTAATTTAAAATCGAAGCTAAATCATTAGGGAGAAAAGACAGAACTTTTTGATACCCTAATAGCCGGTGAGTTGTTTAGCCTTTTTGAGTTAATTTTAATTCAATTTACATTTTGAATGATGAATGAAAAAAGTAGAAAAAAAGAAACGGAAAAGGACTTTTTTTTATTACCTTTTACCTTTTGTGACTTTTTGTTTTTTTTGGTGGTTTTTCAATTTGTCGCAAAGGTGTAGGGCTTTGACATTGATTCATTCGTTGCGACTAGATAATATTGGAAATACAAAAAACTGCAATCTTGTTTGATACTGTTACATCCAGTGCTACCAATTAACACAAAAATCACTTAAGCCATTAAATGTTGAGAGACAACTTTCAAAATCAGATAACGAAACTTATCAAACTGAAAAACTCAGTTTTTTTGCTTCTTTTTCTTCCAACTTTCATGTTTTCACATTTCATTAGATCGTCTTGTTTGAGCAACAAAATTCCAACTTGTCAAATTATCACAAAATTTGTTATCAATTTTAAGTAAACTTGGATTTTATTAAAACTATAAACTAACGAATTTCTTTTCTCCTTCATTTTTCTTCTTCTTTTCATTGCCTTGATTGTTGATAACAAAAGTCACTCCAGGTTCAAAACGGACTCGTCAAACTTACACCCGTTATCAAACATTGGAGCTTGAAAAGGAATTTCATTCAAATAAATATTTAACTCGACGCAGACGGATTGAAATAGCTCATACACTTCATCTAACTGAGCGACAGATAAAAATTTGGTTCCAAAATCGACGGATGAAACAGAAAAAAGAGTCAAAAGTACCTGCAATCAACTTTAGTTAGAGAAGAAAGAAAATTGTTGTTCTAATCATGAATCGATGAAAAGCACACCAACACTCAAATTACATTCACAAACCAAATTAGTTTATCCATTAACTATCAATATTGAATACACTTGAAGCGCGTTCAAAGAAACAAAATCACAGAATTGAATCGACATCAAAAATACCAAATAATCATTAAACTTGAGGTGACAAATTATGTTGAACAAAAGCAAATTTTTTTCGCTCAACGCTCTTTTCTCTCTTCTCTTTTTATATTTTTTTATCCAAACAAAAGCACCTCATTCAGTCCAAAATGCACTCCCAGCGATAATTTAACATTTAAACGACACCAAGATACGAAAACGAACGAAAAATTCAATACCATTTAACTGTTTATAAATATATAAATATATATATATAAAAATACAAATATAATACAAGAAAACTTTACCTTTATTTTTGAAAATATAATTTGATTTTGCAAAATAAAAATATGATCCAAAAAATGGAAAAAATTGATAGGATTGTAATAAAGATTGACTGATGACCACTTTAAATGTACCTTTATTAAAGTAAGTATCCTTTGTCTTGCTATTTCTCTCCATTTCGGCCAATCCATGAAACTCAAGTTTTTCATTGATAGAAGACTAAAGGTAAGTAGAAAAGGTAAAGACATTATTTACTCTTCAAAGGGCTTCATATAACGTGATGCGTCTTTTGATTTCACCTTCGATCCAAATTTTGGTCTATTAATATCAAGTGCCTATCATTACTTAAAACTTTGATGTAATGCATGGTTCCTATGGAAACTAGTTTTCTCAATTTGTTGGTTATTCGTTTGATTATTGATTCTTTACTTTACATTCACCATTCAATGTCTTGACAAGTGACTTGACATGTCTTGAAAAATAAATTCAAAAACCTTGTCTTTCGATTCAATTGAGACTTACAAGGAAAGTACTTGAATCGCCGAAGCCAAGTTTTGAATGAGAGAAATATCATTCGAGAGGATGATCAGTTATGAAAACCTCTAATAGCTTTCATCTGCGAGCTTAGTGATTCCTAAGATATTTGGTTTTAAACTTGGGCATTTTTATTAAAATCAGATTTAAAAATCTCTTAAAAATGTGAGCTTAAGTTAGTTCAGTGGTTAAAGGTGTAAGGGTAACTATGAAGGTTTTGGGTTCGAGACTCGTTGTCAGCGAGTTCTAAAGATCATGAAAACTGAGTCCGTTTTGTCCATTGAATTTCTTTGACTGAAATTCATAATCTTAATTCCCCTCATGCAAGATAATGATTAAAATATCAGTGATGTTGAAAGAATGGTCATTGTAAGTGCTTCCATTCTTGAAATATCAAGGCTCAAAGTTTTAAGGCCATCGCTCAAAATCAAGAGAACTGTTGGTAAATCGAAAAAATTGTTTCATCAACATAAACATTTATCGGTGAAAAATATGTTTCAATTATTTATCTATCATCGACTGAAGTGAGTCACTTGTTTGCAAATCCAACTTTATTGAACAGAAACAGAAATTTTTGTTCTAAAACAAGCATATTCTTTGTTATACCATTAAAGTTACATTAGGATAATCAGTTGATGAAAAAAACGATTGCTGTTGAATTAAGAACGCGATTTTATCAAAGCCTGTCGATCATTAAGTTATTTGATAGCACCAGTGGTTTATGCCGTTAAAAACTCACCAAGTCTCATTCGCAACTCGAAAGTCAAAGTTTTTGAAAGAGTGAAAGAAAACAAAGTGGGTGGAGCAAGAAAGAAGATAATGATAGTGTGTTTGCAGAAAATGGTGAAAGAGTGAATGAGAGAGGGAGAGAGAGGGAGAGCTAAATAGGTGAGATGAGTGAGAAAGGTAAGGGAGAGGAAAGAGCGAGAGAGAGAGATACAGCTTAGTTCAAAATTATTTCTTTGCCATCCAATTGAAGTATAAAATTAATGAGTATTGCCATGAGTTCGTTTGTGATGAACCCAGCGGCATATACGGCTGCTGCAGCCGCGGAGGATGCTGCGAGTGGCGGCTATTCAAGTTACTATGATGTTACGGGAAGTTCATCTGGACTTGGTGGTGGTGGTGGTGGAGGTGGAAGTGTAAGTGTAAGTTCCAACAGTTCAAATGTCAACACTTTTGGATTCAATCATCATTCCTCTTCCCATCATTCATTCAATCATCACCAAAGTACACCGATTCCCGGTTATCATACTCATGTCAACGATTCCCTTTCCAACTATGGATCACCTCACCATCCGCACCATCTCAACCATTCTCAACATTCCCTGCAAAATCATCTTCAATCGCACCATCAACACTTGACTCACCATTCACCTGGACACCATTCATCGCCCCTTCACCCTCACCATCCTCATCAACAATATTATGGAACCCAAAGTGTTCCCGGTGCTGGTCCCATGGGATCACTTGGTCAAAATGTTTCACTTGGTTCAACCGATTCTTCCCTTGAACCTTCACCAGGAATTTTAACTCATCCTCATCACCTTTTAGCTACTTCATCTGGTCTCCTATCACACCATCATCATCCCAATGTTTCATCACCTTCGCCCTCACCTAGTCATCAACAGCAGCAACAACAACAATCATCTTCATCTCTTCATCAAACTGGATCAAATCATCAACAATTAGATGTTAAATCTAATCTATTAGACATTCAATCAATGAGTGATCCTCCCTCTCCACCGGACTGTGCAATCTCAGGGAACAGCGGAAGTAATTCAGGTGCTTCAGGTACTGGTCAACCCGTCATCTATCCTTGGATGAAAAAAGCTCATGATAATCAAAGTAAGTAACGGAATTCAACGTAATTTCTCATGACATTTACTTTCTATTGTTCAACTGATTGCTCCTGATTGATTGATTTATGCTAAATCCTGAAGTACTCTATTGTAATAAAACAGAAAATTTTATCAAAGTTGCTTTTCCATTAAAAGTTATATTTATAAAACTAGATTAGAAGAACTCGATCTAAGTGTGCTTCTCATATTATCGTGAGCCGATAATGTACCTTTGGTAGTTCATTTCAGTGTTGAAGTTGCAATTTAAAGATAGAAAATAAAAAGAACCAAAAGAAAGTGAAATTGTGATTCTTGAAGTCGTTCAATGGTCAGCAATAAATAGTCAATAGCTAATGAATGAAGAAGAAGAAGCTTGCTTTTCTTTACCTTTGCCTTTGCCTTTTTACCCCGATCTTTAGGTTGCTTTGAGTAGCATTTTATTGAAAATTGAAAGCCATCGATCTTTTCATTTTGTTTCAACTTGAGCAATTTTTTTTGAAATAAATTATTAATAACAATTTTTTCTTTTTCTTCATTGGCGATTCATCATTTCATGGTCAATCACAAAAGCCACTCCAGGTTCAAAACGGACTCGTCAAACTTATACCCGTTATCAAACATTGGAGCTTGAAAAGGAATTTCATTCAAATAAATATTTAACTCGACGCAGACGAGTTGAAATAGCTCATACACTTCATCTCACCGAACGACAGATAAAAATTTGGTTCCAAAATCGACGGATGAAACAGAAGAAGGAGCCAAATGTACCTGACCTTTATTTAGAGAAACAATATTTTCTAACTCAAACATAACATAACATTTACAAATGAAACTATCCAACATGACATTGGTCATGAGTTTCACATGTATTTCAAAAATATTCACATTCAATTATCTATCAAAATGATTTGCTCATTAACTTATAAATAAAACCAATTTATACAAAAAAAGTAAATCTGGTTCACGAAGGTAGGTATTTTTTGCGGTCATTTCATAGCATTTACAACTATCATGAAACAATGCAAAATGGGTTCGAATGTAAATTTTGTCAGTTGAAATGGTTGATCCAATCAGCCGATCAAAAAACGAAACAAAAATCCTCAGAAGATCGAGAGAATGCAAAATTACAATTGAAAAGCTGACGAGTTTATCGATGAAGTTTAGTCAAGTTGAACCTTCTCTATTGAAACGGAAACAGACATTTAAAACTTCACCTGACATTAATTGAAACGTCGTCTAAATCACTGAACATGTAAAATAAAAGTTTATCAATACAAGTTAGAAGCGCGAATCCATTCAATGCAAATTTCATCACAATTGGAAAATAAATTTCCAGTTATTTTGGTTGTTAAAGTGCACATTTCATGAACAATTGAAGGACAAGCAAACAAACAAACAAAAAATATTGAGCAAACATATGCAAAAGTTTCAAGATAAATGTTGAACATTAAAGGTGCGCAAAACGACCTGAAGGTTAAATAAATGTCAAGCGAGTGGTTTTTTTCTCGGTGTTAGAGTGTGTTGAGAGAAAATTTAAAAGAGATAAAAATTGAAACTTGAGTTTCAAAGGTGGGGGAGTTGGTGAAAGTTGAGTGAAAATGGAGAGGCAAAAAGTGAGAAGAAAAGTAGAGAGAAGAGAGAGAGAGAGAGTGAGTCGAGAGAGGGAACAAAATTGGGTTTGCCTTTCTTTTTCTCTTCACTTTTATTCATTTAATAACCGCGCAGATCCAATAAAAATATACAAAATACTTGAATGAGGATGTGTATGGATATCACGTGAGTGTGACGTAATGATGAATCTGGTCGGAAGCTGCTGCCCATTCTCTTTCTTTTTTCACTTTCTTTTCTCTATCTTCATCATTTTCAGTCTCTTTATCGCTCTCCTTTTCATCATCATCATCATCATCATCTTCTTTTCCTTTGGTATCTTTTTATCATCTCACTGACTCTCTCACAGGCAGGCAGGCACAACACACACAAGACAGTATCATATCGAGTGAACTATTAGAAGACCTCAGATCACCGTCAATACCAAGAGTCTCTCCCGCTATCAAAAAAAAGTCTCTTCTAGTCTCTCTCTTCTCTCTTTTCTCTCACTCTGTTTGCCTTTTTCATAACAATTTCCCTCCCTTGTATCTCACTTTGTCTCTCCTCTCTTCAAGTTATATAACCAAACGGTAGCCTCGATATCAGTTAGTGTATAAAACAGTGAACATAAAACAGTGCGTAACAAGCTCAACAAGATTCACTTTTTGGTTAAAGTTGAAAATTTATATTTACTTGGTTTTGGTTCTTGGTGTGATTGTGTGTTATTGAAATATTATAACAAAAGTATAACAAAATTGTATCATCATTTTATCGTCACCCATTATCATCAAGCATCATCATCATCATCATCATCACCATAAAAGAGTCACCATAAAATATAAATATATGATATTATTACATGTTGTAATACTACTTAATTTATAAATCATATGTATTATTTGAGGTAACAGTTATGAGCTCTTATCAATTTGTTAATCCATTAACCTCATGCTATAATCAAACCCGTGACTATTATACACCGCAAGCTTACAACAACTGTTATGGTACAGCAACGGGTCCATCACCAGGTGGAGCAACTGGACCTTATTCATCTTATTTGACTCACAATGGAGGTGGTGATCATCATTCTCAGCATCCTCACTCTCATACTCACCATAGTGATAGAGAAACGTACGCACAAGCTACAAACGCTGCTGGTGCTGTTTCGGCAGCTACCGGTGTTGTCGGTTTGAGTGGTGTCACTGGACCTGGAAATGTTCCAGGCTCAGTAAACCTTGGTCTTCACTCGGCCAACAGTTCATCAAATAGGACCCCAACACCATCCAGTTGTAAGTATGCTTCAAATCCCCTGGAATCGGCTTCTTCACCTCAAGATCTCAGTGCAACCTCATCAACTGGTGCTAGTCATTCCAATGACACTAAACCAACATTAACTGGTAGTGGTCTGGTTAACCCTTCAACAGGACGTTCAACCAATAATTCAACCAGTGCAGGTGCTGGTGCTGGTTGTGCAACGATTGGTGCAAGTGTAGCCGATGATACCGGTGGCGGTGGCAACTCATCAAATGGTTCCTCTAATCACAATTCAAATGCAAATAGTGGTAACAATTCTGGTTCTAATACTGGTACAAGTCAATCAAACAGCAAAAACCAACCTCAAATTTATCCATGGATGAGGAAAGTACATGTCGGTCAAAGTAAGTTGTCCTTGTGTTATCCGTTTGCCTCATGTTGTTGTGATAATTTACGAGCCAGGAAAAGAAGAAGAAGATGAAAGAAAGTAAAAGGTAAACAAACAATAAAAGAGTGAGTAAAGAGAGTAACTGGAAGAGAGAGAGAGAGAGAGAGACGTGAAAACAAGATAAACCATGTTATTGTGCAATAAAGGTGCCATTAACCTTGACCTTAACCTAAAGAGTAAAAAAGATTGAATGAAAAGAGCAAGAAAAACGGTTATTTTGTTGTTCAACTTTACACCATAAATAGTAACTTATTACCTGTAAAAGGTGCCACAATTTTTCACCTTGTTTCACTTTTGTTTATTTATCTTTTTTTTATTGTTACTATTAGTTGAATGATGCACTTGAGATCAAGTCACCAAAAAAAGACATAAAATAAAAACCAATGACTCTATTTAATGGGGATGATGATGTGTTTATGATGTAATTTAGGAAACCACAACAAGCTATCAACAAGTCTATTAACAAATGCAATAAACATTTTATTATTCAATCTTTATCGTCGTAATCGGTTATGACCCATTGAACCAATCTTTTAAACTCCATCTAATTCAATTTGAAAACAATGAGGTAAACAGTGTAAAGAGTAGTATAAAGAGGTGTACAGAAAGTAAAGAAAGAGGCAAAATTATAGAAAAGAAGAAAGTTGACCTAAAGTGGACCTAAAATGGTTTACAATACCAATCAAATTGACCTAAACCAGTCTAGCAACAGTCAACCTTTACCCAAACCAAATGCTAAATAAAAGCCCAACCCAGCTTAACCCAAGTTATTTTTATATAAAGAGCAACATTTCTAAACCCTTCTTTACCAGTTTTTGTGCTCGTTTCATTGGGACAAGCTTTTTGGCCCAATCTTCATTTTCCCTGTAAAATTTGCATTTTAACCTTCAATCACATTCAAGTTGTATTCAATGTTTTTGTAAACAAATCAATTTCGTTCTTTTATTAAACTTTTATTATTTAATATTTTCATTCAATTATCATTTTTGTTGCGTTTTCATTTGATAACTTATATTCCTTGTATTGAGATTATCGAAATTTACATGAGCGTTTTTAGGGAATTGAAGTGCAAGATGACCGAAAATTAGCCCAAAAAGGGCAAGTTCAAGCTTTTATTTTCGATTTGAATAAATAAGATTTATCATCGATACCGTTTTCTGTTAATCATTGATATGTGTATTCAATGGGAGAATAGTATTTATTCAGCCGATGGATGATAACTCTCGTAATTGTTGATAAAGATCACAATTTTTGGGTGAGCCAAAGAGCCATAAATAAGCTGCGATTTAACAAATTATTGTAATTCGAAAATGAACTTTCTTCCATAGAACCCAATGTTGAATCTCCGTTCAAATTTTTAACGCTTAGGTTAATCCAAATTTTATCCAAATACATCAAATAATGTATCACCTAATGAGAATCGGTTTAAGAAATATTCACGTAATAATCTCGATTAATTTTAGTAAAAAATGAAAATCTTTTATTTTTGCCATTGTTTTTATGCATTAAAACCAGTCGAAAAATGAACGCTACAATTGCACTTTTTGGGCTAATTTTTGGTCATCTTATACTTTGATTCTCTAAAAATGATAATGTCTATTTCAACCAATTTTTAATGTAAGGAAAACAAGCTATTAAATATAAACTAGTTGAACCTTTTCCTGTCCAATCACGCTACTTTCAATTTCGGCTAAATAACCAATAATCAATTGGTTCTAAAATTTTGCTGGTTATTGTGAGTTTAGTGGTGGAAGCTGATTTTAATCTTGGATTATGAGTGACGGGTTCGTGAAATGATCAAAAATCACAATTTCTAAGACACATTTTCGAGATTGCGATCGATCGATAGACATTGTTTTGGAATTTGTAATTTTTTGTTGCTATAAATTTACATAAAGCTTTTCAATTGCAAAGAAACACGCGTCGAACAATTTGAATCATTAACTCTTTTGAAAAACAGATCAGTGTGCAAAAAATAGTTACATTTTTTGCTGACTTATCACATTTTCTGTGACATTTTATCGTTTTGCCTTTAATCGAGTAAAAATATGAAATCATAACATTTGAAGTAAATCAAATGCTTTAAAATACCCATTACTAATCCAAATACCGTAAAACTGTCTCTATTAGAATATATTTGTCACTTTCAATGAGCTTATTGAGAAACGCAATAAATTGATCCTCTTTACAGGTTTAAAAATTTTTAGGTGAAACAGGATGAGCGAAATATCTTTGTCATGAAATGCTTTTATAGACAAACAGCCGTCGCTACTGACTATTCCTGATTCTTGAAGTGATAGTTTCAGAAACGCTAAAACCTTGCTTCTTCAATTTACTCTGAATTCATCATGTTGACCAGTCTTGCTCCAACTGACGATTCACCTTTAATTTTACTTTCAAATTTACTGGTTGCACCCATTTTTAATACTTTACCAGAATCCATCTTAAGGCGTAGTGGAAAAAGCATCGCGTCTATAATCCTTGAGCTGAGAAAAATTAACACTGCCTACTAGAGAACGGGTTGAGGTCAAATTTTATAAACAGTTTAACATTCAAATCATTCTCAATTAAAAAGACTATCAATTATAATCAAAATACAGTCAACATTGCGATAATACCGAAGTACAGCTTATTCACACTACTCATCAGGAAATGTTTTCCATGATTTGCAATCTTCGTAAAGAGATTGAATTCAGTTCATTTCTAGTGTTTTTGTCGTTATATTAAGAAATTTATTCAAGTTATTTGATAAAGAAATCGAAACGCCGAAATTCAAAGACTAAACTCCTCCTTAATTGGGGAGCGTTGAAAAAATGAATTATCTCCATGTTGCTCAGGCAATATATTTCTTGATCTCATCTTATTCATCATCCAACTTGACACGTCAGACGAGGTGCCTTATCGTCTCGACAATCTGGCACCAACAAAAATGTTGCACATTATTATGTATAAACCTGTAGATGAATAACATTCTGAGAGGAAAACAAATTTTCAATCTTGACCTCGTTTGTCCAAGCAGCTATCGAAACATTTACAATTTTTTTGTTGCGACCGATCTGGCGAAGAGAAATTTTTTCCAAGAATTTCTTTCAACTGAAACATTTGGACAATTTTCATCCTTTGCTTTTCAATCAGTCTTTCAATTTGAGTTATTGCTCATTTCATCCTGGTTAGAATAGCAAATTTACCAACATTGAACATAAATTATAGATTAATCGAAATGTATAAAAATTGAAAGTGTTGAGTTTCAGTTAAATTGTGCTGATTGTTCCTGTTTTTTTGTGTGTGTTGCTGCTCATGTGTTTATCCAAGGCTTTCCAAGTTGAAGAAAAATAAACGTTTTTCTTCTCATGGAAAATGTTATCAAATTTCATGGAGAAAAAGTAGAAAGGAATAAAGATGAGCTGAGAAGACATTTTGAATAGGAATCAGTTTCAACCAACTTTTTCAATTGCCTTTTGCAAAATGAATACAACCTTGACGCAACATTTTTCACTTTTTTTTATACCAACAAATAGATGTGATAACAATTATGATCACTTTATTGAGGCAACATTTTCTTGCATCAAAAGCAAAATGGTGTCATTTGGCCTGGGATTCTTGATCATCATCTTCCTTTACTTCATCTTTTCTTTTTTCTTCATCATTTCCATCTTCCACACCCAACCAATTCCTTTTCATACATTTAACTTCAATTTTCGCTTCTTCTTCTACTGTCCTCGTTTCTCTCTCTCTCTCTGGATCTTTTATATCTCGCAACTTTCATTTGGACCCTTAAGCTATATCAAAACAAAATATCCTCTTCCACCATCATCATTATCATCATCAGTTTTCTCTTGTTCATCTTCTTCTTTTTTTTCAAATGATGTTCTATTCTTAATATAGTTTTGGAGTAAAAGATTATGGATGATCTAAGATGATCATTTCTGGTTTAACTTTGACCAAACACGCTTCGAAAAAGTAAAGCAGTAAAGAGAAGAAAAAAAGGCAAAAAAATAGAAAAAGATTCATCCCAAAATTACCATTATCAGCATCATCATTAAACATGATCATCATTCACTTTCTTTTCTCATTCAACATTTCTTCAATCATATCCAATAAGTCTGTCTGTTTCTGTCCTCTTTTGTTGATCATCATTTCATTAGAGCAAGAAAAGAGTTTCCACCATTAAGTGTCTCTCTTTTGACCAAAAGCCTTGCCATCTGAAGATGTTCATCTTTCCCTTTATTCCTTCAATCCTCCTCCGCCTCCTTCTCCTCCCTCTCCTCCTCATCCACATTTTATCCATATCATTGGTGATATCAAGAAAAAAAATTCAAATTGGACCAATTTCCTGTAAATAAGTCGACGTTCATTAAAAAAAAGAAGAAGAGATTTGACCAAATAAAACAAACCTGTCATAATGGGAAAAGTGAAAAAGAAGGCCAAAAGGCAACTTTAACCATCGGGTGTCGGCAAACCTTTGGGATAAAAATACGCAAATGATAAGCCAGTTTCTTGACTTTTGTTTTGATGTTTTTATTGCTTCTCCTGCTGCTGTTGCTATTGCTGTATCTCTGTTGCTCTGTTGACGTTTCTCGACTCTCCATGTACTGTGTGTGGCTATTGTCTATCATTTTCAACATCAAATACTGAGAGAGAGAGAGAGAGTGAGACAGTGAAGATAAAAAGACAATGATTCAATTTGATTATAATGGGAAAAAAAGGTTTATCTTGTTCTTTGAAAAATGAGTAAGACAAACAAACATGGTAAAAAGCAGAAGCAAGAGACTGAACAAAAAAGACCAAAAATACAGACTGAGAGGACTTTTTGGGTTGCACGCACCTCTTATTGATCGGCTCAATACTTTTACATATCAAACCTTATCCACCAATAATATTCAAATCCATCTCTGTATGACTTGAAAAATAAATTGTGATATATTGATTTTCTTTCTTTTCCCTTTTCTGTCTCTC